GTACAATATTTTTTGAATGAACTTAGAAAGTGGCTGGTTATAGTCTAAGAATATGACAAATCTGTCAAAATTTTGTTTTCAACATTGAATCTATAGTTCAGCAGAGGCAAACAAACAAACACTAAAATATAATAAATCAAAAAAGAAAGACGTGATCTAATCAAATAAACAGAGAAAGAAACAGAAAAGAAAAACGGGAGAGAGAAAGACAGAGAAAGAGAGAATAAGAGAGAGACATTCATATACCCTTCAGAGGAAAAGAGAACTGGGAAAAAGAAATCAATTTCATATTTAGGCAGAAAAATACAGGGTGACACCTGGCTCTACAGGTGGCAGAAAGTCACTGAAAACCTGTACTGCGAAAAGCTCTGGATAATTATAAATGTAGATAATAAAAAGGACGATAGATCAAAATTCATAAAATATGCTTATTTTGAAAAGTTTTAGTTATAGAGACATTGGGATGAGACACACCATAATTTAAGATAGCAATAGAAAAAAATCTGAAATCCCTGAGCCTTCTCTTTGTTCGTCTTTCAATTGTTCACTTTCCTCATCAGAATAGCCTTTGGGTCTTCAGCTGTGTAGAGATAAGTTCAGACTGATCTTCCCCGTGACTCTGTTTTGGTTGAGCCTTTTTCTGTTACCTTGACTTTAAAAGCATGCTAAGGTCTCCTTCAGTTTCTAGCCATCTCTCTCTTAGTCTCTTTGCTTTATTTGTTTGTGGTTTCTCTTCACTGGATGTGAGACACACTGTGTAACCGCAGTACTTGGTGTGTTAGTTTTCTATTACTGCCAGAACAAATCACCACAAAGTAATTTCAGAGCATGGGAATAAATGGTGACAAAGTGGAGAGTTTTCATGAAGGCCCCCATCCAGGTGGAAACTAACCCGTTGGGCCAAAAGAAAATTAATGCTATCTCATTTCCCACTCTTAGGAGGGAAGCATCCACCAGCAAAGCCAGGTGTGGATATACCGGAAACAGAGATGGGTAGCATAAGCCAGAGAGGGAAGAGCTTCCCTTGTCATGGTAAGATAGGCGTTAATGTAAAATAGTCACACCATTGTTGACATACAAGTAGTTCATTGGCTTTGTGCCATAACAACAAAATTATAGCATCCATAAATATATTATATGGAAAGCTATTTGAATGCAATTACAGAGAAGATTATTGAGTTGTACATGTGTAAATGGGGGAGCATAAATATGTAAAGAATGACCCTATTGGGCACCACACCTATCGCTGAGAGTATATAAATGCCATGTCCAGATGGTGGCATTAAAACTCAGAATCTTCTCTGTTACACTCAGCTGAACTCACATCTGCCATCAAAATGCCCTACAGCTGCTGTTGTGGAAAGGTCTCCTCTCACTCCTTTGGGGGCTACCTGCGCTACCCAGGCACCTCCTGTGGCTCTTCCTACCCCAGCAACCTGGTCTACAGGACTGACCTCTGCTCCCCCAGCACCTGCCAGCTGGGCTCCTCTCTCTACAGTGGCTGTCAGGAGACCTACTCTGAACCCACCAGCTGCCAGACGTCCTGTGTGGTGTCCAGCCCCTGCCAGACGTTCTGGTACCGTCCAAGGACCTCCCCACTCTGCAGTCCCTGCCAGACGACTTACTCTGAATCTCTGGGCTTTGGATCCAGCAGCTGCCGCTCCCTGGGCTGTGGACCTAATGGCTTCAGACCCCTAGGTTGTGGAGGCTGCAGCTTCCCTTCTCTGAGCTGTGCATCAGGATTCTACCGCCCATCCTACTTGGCTTCTAGGAGCTGCTGGTCTTCTTGTTACAGACCAACCTGTGGCTCTCACTTCTATCGATTTACTTGCTAAGTGTCTATACCATTTTGAGTATTGAGATCAAAGTCTATACTCAGTGCAGTTATTGTTTTCCTTCTCTCCAGTTACCACTATCCTTTTATTCTTGCATCACCAACTTTTGGCAGACTCTGAAATTAGTGAGTAACCTAACATTATTTCCTAATATTTGCACTATTGATAGAATATATGCTATTTGATTTTCTTCCAAGAGCTACTGCAAACGAAAATTTTAATCTAATAAATGTATTTGATCTGGCACCCAAATATATTATTCACATTATTGTCGTTATTATTTTGCTCGTAGGTTTTGTGTCTGGTAATTTGGGGGATTAAAGTAAAAATAAATATGACTAAGTAACTGGATTTTGAGCACATATAATTTGATAGATTTGAGAAGATTTCTGTTGACATTGAGTATGTTCCCTATCCAGAGTAATGATTTCTTGGAAGACCATAGTTTGCCCTTGCAGACTTGTCTCAACAGCAGTGAGAATTGCCTAAGACTGGGGCACATGCATTTCTGCTGATAGAGGAAAACAAAGAAAGAAATTAATATATGAACTAGAAATGCAGACAACAAGAATAGCATAAAATTTATAAGGTGAGTTGTACACTTAGACAAAAACATACCCAAAAGTCCAGTATCGGAGTGTGTATTTTTAACCAACAATAAAATGAGCCTTAAGCAACTCCTAAGACAGATGCTTTGCTTGTTGTTAGTTGGCAAAAGGGTCAGGATCCCTGCCTCCCACAAGTGGGGTAGCCCTGAGCCTCACCTACAAATGTGCGTAAAAAGAATCACAATACTCTTAGGTGGGAGTAACTGGGTTCAGAGGTGTGGGTAACTTCCTGATACTTTTCCAAAGTTCAACCTCAATCAAGTTAAGGGCAACGCACCTGAGCAGTGTTGAACAAACATTTATATTCGTTAGTCTTAGTGTGGTTCCTCCTTTCCCCCAAAGCAGAGCTAAAGTCAAAGGCATGTGTGCAGACACATTTTTGGCACAAGATCCCAGCAAGCAAGTATGAGAGCCCATACATGGATAAAGAATCGAAGAGGAAAATCTCATGAAAGGGTACACTTTAGAGTTAGTTTTATGATGAGCAACTTGACGTCAATCCTGCGAGGACTTTTTAGGAGCATATAGAATGACTCTCAAAATTGTCCACCTCAGGATCAGATCAACAGGGAGAAGCATCTATCCATCAGCCTCTATTTCCATGGGTTGAGCAATGTCCAAGATGTATAATTTCCTGGAACCTCATAGCTGTTTAAGGGAAGAATCACAGTGGTCTCCTGTGTTCCTAGTTGTGACCTTGGAGAAGGCCTTGTACAGTAAAATAATGTTGCGTATTTTTGAGGGGAGATGCTGTCCATGCAAAGGGGGTTGAGACCTACATGAAATTGTTTACCATAGCTATGCCTGGGATCATAGTTTAGAGTATACTATATGAGCAGGCACCAAGAAATGTCAGCTATACCATTTTCATTTACTATTCGAACATCCCTGAGAGAAAGACAAACACAATATATTATAGACCTTTCAAACATGAGGAAATGGAGACTCAAAAGGATTTGAAACTTGCCAAAGTTTATAGATTAAGGATCATTCTAGTTGAATTCAATCTCTTAATTTTTTTCTGTTGCTCTTTTCTGATTTTTTCTTTTCTTTCTTTTTATTTTCTAATATACAACTTCTAGGTTAACTAAGGAGTCCTTAGTATTTCTGGTACTTAGAAATACTGGTACTCCATCTGAATAGACTTAATCTACTACTGGACTTATTTCATTAGCTTCATGAACAGTATTAGGTTGGTGCAAAAGTAATTGCGGTTTTGGACTATAAATTTTACATCATTATAACTAGGCTCAATCACATCTTTATTAATCAAAATGGGAACCATTACAATCAACAGATTTTTGCCAACAAGAAATAAGTTTGTCTATTCTTGTAGCTCAAGCAAGAAACAATAAGAAAAATTCTTGCATATGCTTTGCAACATCATAATGACTTAGCAGCACTAACAATGACTTAAAAATCAACAAAACGATGGCTCAAATATAATACAACACATGAAGGTGAAAGTGGTGATTGATAAAGTAAGGGAAAATATCGATTGCCAACATTATTTACTTTTTTTTAATTTCAGAATATGGGGGTACACATAATTTACCGTATCTACAAAATGTTTAAATTGTTTTTTTAAATTACAGATTCCACTTTTATTGGAAGAAGATTGTACCTTATTTGGATGCAAAATTGAGTTATGTATTTGTTACAGTTAAAAATGAATTTCTTTTCTATAGGGTTCTTTATTATGTTCACCATGATGTTGTCCTTTATTCAAATTTATACTTTTTATTATTATTGAGAAAACAAATGATTTTATCTTCAATGTTGAACATTTTAAATGATTTTACATTAACATTGTCAAACAGAACATTATGAATTTTTCATGGCTTTACTTGGATTCTTTGGGTTGGATGAAGAATCAAACCATTATTGGAATTAATTCACTTTCTGTTTGAAGTATTTAACAATACTGGTATAAAAATGTGTTCATTTAATCTTGAGCAATGTTTTTCTTATACTAATGGAGGGGCATATTATCAGCTATCATTTCAATCTTTTTGTTCATGCACAAGAAAACTTAGGACTTAACATGTGTGAAAATGATTTAAAACAGTTATTTGACCTAAATGAAAATGTATGCATCAGAGGGATATATTGAGATATCTTTTGCAACTGCTAATGATAAATAATCATTTTGGGGACAGTCTTCTTAAATGTTTTGCTATCCTTTGAAGAAGATACTGATATTTATTCAGTAAAATTACATCTTCTGTTTTTCATGTGGTCCATGGATATCACCTACACTCATGTTACTAAATGTTATCAAGTTGTTGTACAGGTTGTATACTCACCATCAACTTCCTTTAATAGTCGAAATTCAGAACTTTCCTTTTTTTTCTTCATAAAAAGCAAAGTTTTATTTTTGGCTCATTTTTCCTAAAAGGATTTTTTTTAAAACAGAATTTGCTTTTACCAATCAATAAAATAAATAGTTGTAGATTTAAACAATATAACACATGGCTAAACCAGTATAGTGATAGCATTTAAATTATTCTTTATATGCTTTGTGACAGCCTCAATTTTGTGCCCACACTTCATGTACGCCTAAGCAGTAATTCTCAAATTTCCCACTAACTCCACCTACTGTTGGCTTGGTGGATATTGCTGCATCTTGCAGGCTATGCAACAGGCCATAGAACTACTGGCTAGGTTGGAACAACAAATCACCACCCACCAAGACTTGAACATGTGGGCTCTCCCATTGCTTGTATCTGAGGGTAATTTGTTTATTAAGTGATCCTCTCTGTGTGCTCTCTTTGATGGAAAAGTGATAGTTCTATTTTATTCAGAAATGGTAAGAAACGGGGATATCTGTCTTCTTTCAGATTTAACAAAATTAGACAAAAAACTCTATTCACTGTACATGTAACATATTCTCTATTAGATAAAACCACGGCAACACTGGAGATCTCTTAAACCAATCATCACTGATGTTAGTAAAATTATTACTGATTATAAATAAGAAAGTAAAAAATCTGAGACAATTGCCAAATCGGACTAGACAGTGAGACAAAAAGGAATAAATCAAGATATATTGTCAACGTGAGTATAAGGATCTAGGTCATTTGTACCTTTCATAACGTTGTTCTTAAATGATGAAACATTTGAGGCGTAAATGCTGATTCAACCATTATCAACTGCCTTAATATTTAGCTGAATCCTGTAACAAGAGAACATGTGCATTAGTTTTGAATATTTTTTTCAAACAAATGCTATCAACCAAACAACTCGAAAAACAAGCAGATTGGGAATTCATCAAATTTATAGAACTGATTATATAAAAAATATTGGGCCTACTTGCTAATAAATGTTGAAATATGTTAGAGATTTCATTTAGAGACTTGATTTCTTACTAGGCAATAAGGCTGGAGGAACTAGAGCCCTCACCAAATCTAACTCACTAGCTAACATCAAACTTCCTCCTGGATATCCTCACTCCAGATTCTCATATATTTTAGAATATATTCCAGAAGAGTAATCATCCTTCCAAAATTATGTAGTCTAGTCAATTTAATATTCACTGAAAATTATAATTATTTTACATAAAACATTGAATTTTCTTACTACCTATGGAAAAAAATGGACACAGTTATGAGTTTTAGTCTTAAGACTTTGTACTTTGGGTTTGTCATGTAAGGTATTAATGGTGAAGTAAACAGGAAAGACAAAAAATTTTCTGCTGTATCAAAAAGAAAATTGGACAATTTTACTCTTTAAAGTTAAAAATTTTGGTTCTTTGTGGTATCTCCATATTTCCTTCCAAAGAGACTGTGCTAGTTTGCAGTCCCACCAACAATGTATAAGTGCTCCTATCTCTCCACATTCACTCCAGCAATTGTTGTTTTGGGATTTTTTGATAGAAGTCATTCTCAGTGGAATTAAGTGATATCGCATTGTGGTTTTGATTTACATTTCCCTGATTATTAGAGATGTTGAGCATTTGTTCATGTTTGCTGGCCACCATTTGATCCAGCAATCCTGCTACTGGGTATTTACCCAAAGGAAAAAAAAGACACCTGCACTTGAATGTTCATAGCAGCACAATTCATAACGGCAAAGAGGTGGAAACAACCTATGTGCCCATCAATACAGTGTATTAATAAAATGTATACAATGGAATACTACTCAGCCATAAAAAATGGTGAACTAATACCACTTGTATTAACTTTGATGGAACTGGAGACCATTCTGCTAAGTGAAGTATCACAAGAATGGAAAAACAAGCATCACATGTACTCATTATTAAATTGGAACTAATCGATCAACACTTACGTGCACATACAGAAATAACATTCATGGGAAATCAAGCAGAAGGGAGGGGGGAGGAGGGGGATGGGTGAATTCACACCTAATGGGTACAATGCACACTATCTGGGG